TCAGTTTGAGATGTAAGTTTCGTATACCTATTAGACAGCCAAATAAATGTATCAAGAAGGCAGTTGGGTTCTTCATCCTGACCTTCAGAGGAGAGACAAAGCCTGGAGATACAGAAGTGGGAGACCTCAGTATAGGTGGTATTTAAAGCTGTGGGCTGTGATGACATCACTAAGTATAGACATAACCAAAGGCTAAAAGTGAACAATGTGATGCTCCAGCATCAGAGTTCGGGAGGAGAAAAAGTGGTAAGTAATGAAGAACATTGAGGAGGGGTAGCCAGAGAGGTGGGAGGAAAACAAGGAGTGTGGTGTTGTGAAAGTAAATGGAATATCGAATTGTTTCAAATGTTGCTAATAGACCAGGTATGGAGAGAACTAAATATCATCATTTGAGGGTTCCTATTGACCATTCAGAGTCAGAGCCAGAGCCGTTGCCCTGTGCTAGAAACCCAATGACAAACTGTTATGTTGTCCCCTCTTCCTTACAGTCATATAATCACCTCTTCACTTCAAATATGTCTGTCTTTCTTTTCACGCAGGGTAAAATAAAAATCATTAGGCTCATTTTTCAAAGTTACTCTCCCTCTCTGAAATAATATCATATTAACCAGGATTGTATTTAAGAGGTTTCCTACACGTCTCAATCACTCATGTACATCCACACCTATAGATTCTTTGGTACATCTATACCTAGCTATACTCATCCTATACATGTGAATTTTATTGTTTTATCTCCTAGAGATAACTTACTTATAAGTTGTCATACAACTTTCAGGGGCTAATTTAGAGACTGATAATTCAGATGGTATTTTAATCTGTTCTAAGAGAATACACTGCCCACCATGCTGTCAACTCCATCCACTTACACCGCTCAGCCCTCCTTCTCTCAAGCCACTCAGGAAATCTGTATCGCTGGGCAGGGTATTAGGAGGTTGCCTGTTCAAGAAATCCAAAGCAGTTGTATTAATGTAAATAGAAAAACATAATAATAAGAGACAGTTATTCATACTAGAAATCTGATTATCTGCTGCATAAACCATTTTAAAATTGTATTTTAATTATAGAAGTAAAAATGCCACAGAGTCACAAATATTTATCCATCTGCAGTGGGAACCTGGTCTATGTAGTATGCTTACACTGATAAGAATGGAATTATTTGGATGAGTATAGTGCAATATTGATTTAGGGCCTTAGTCATAAACCTATGGGGTACTTTTCCTCTATTTTTCTGTGATAGCTAATTTCAAAGAAGAGGGTAATTTTGAAATCTAAAGAACCATTTCTTTGTCATGCTGATATTTTCCATTGGAATGGATTCCTTTGACAGCATGAACATACACCCACCAACATGCTTGTAATAGAAAGCATTTCAGAAGACACTGCACTGCCACAGGCTTCCCGAGGCTCACAGCAAGGCTGTGGTGGTCTTGAGGGCTGACACTTTTCATCTTTTTGAAGATAGACACCCTCCAGTTGTCACCCCACAGGAAATCAGGAAGTATGCTTAAATAGCCAGAGCACTTGGAATTACACAGCATCATGTCAGTGGAAATATCCTATCCAATATTATGATTTATTTTAAAGGGGAGTGCAAAAAAAAAAAAAAAGGAAGAAAAAATGATGGAAGGAAGCTGCTCACAACATGGCCAAACAGCTGGCTGGTTTTATAATCCAGAAACAGCTTGGGACTAACTGTACTCACAAGATCTCTTGGCAGAGCAGCTTGATGAAAATACCAAAGCTGTGAGAAGTGTTCTTTTGCTGAATCCTTTATGTAGCTATCATATGGTTTATTAACCTAAATGAGAACACGTACATCATTTATTTCAGATTTCCTGTGCATTTCAATGAAGGACATGCTAATTTCATGTACAACCACAAATACAGTTTACTATAGAATTCATGCCAAATGAATCAATAATTTTCAGAAACTTTAATCCTAGGCATGTCATGATTTCCTCCTTTCAAACAGCATTTTTAGGAACACCTCAAGGGAGAGCTTGGTAAGAATAGAAATTAAGCATGAAGTGAAGGGCACTGGTGATTTTTTGGATGCCAAATTAATCTCTAAGGAAACTAATTTTAATTGCTTCATGTTTCTATTTATTCATTCCTTTAACATTGAATTGATACCTTCTTAAGTAATACAGACAACTTAAATACATTTCTCGTTCACCTGCTAGATGCCTGAGCTGTGGAATATACAAAATCCACTTTACTCTTTTAGAAATTTGACATTAGAAAGAGGGTATCCAGTATTTTGAGATTCCGTATATGTAGCAGACCTTGCATTCTATCATCTTCAAATGTGTTAAGTGAATTTATTCTTCACTAAGTATCCAAGGTAAACTCAATGAGCTGGGATACTTCATATTTTTATCATGAGGCATTTTGAATTTATTCTTTGTGAAATCAGAATGAGTTTCTCACTCAGAGTTTCTATATTTATTTCTCTGGTGACTCAGTAGTTTACTGGCAGTCAGTTTGTAAAATGCTCTCAGGGATTATCTAAATGCAGGATAGTAGGAATGGAAACACATACCCCTGCTCCCTCCTGTCAAAAAGTATACTAAACACCCACGATATATGATCTTGCAAAAGTGAATGAAAATTCCAGTGGGTGACCTCAAGTCACAGTCCCCCAGTTCATGCATGGACTGTCATGCTCCTGGACAGTGGCCAGCCCAGCACAGGACTGCTTTCTACTGGCCTTCCTGTCTCTTCAGCTTCCTGTGCATGTGTGCACCTTCCCATGTGTGGGTGTGTGGGGGGGAGGAGGTTTCAGCCCAAAACCTACCCCTCAGTTCCCTTTTTTAAATAAGTTTGATTTAATGTATTTCATAGGTAATAGTGCATAGACAAAGACAAAGTACAAAAAAGTGAAGGTACTTCTTCCTATCAGTATATCAAGAGTTTCCTCATTCTTTTTTATGGTGCACTACTTTAGTATATAGAAGTATAATTTAATTAACCAGTTGCACATTAATGAATATTAACATGTTTTTAGTCTTTTGCTATTATAAAAAATGCTGTCTAGGAATAATATGTACGTGTAGCCCTGGCTGGCGTAGCTCAGTGGATTGAGCGTGGGCTGGGAACCAAAGTGTCCCAGGTTCGATTCCCAGCCAGGGTATATTCCTGGGTTGCAGGCCAGAACCCCCAGCAACCGCACATCGATGTTTCTCTCTCTCTATCTCCCTCCCTTCCCTCTCTAAAAATAAAATAAATAAAATCTTAAAAAAAAAACAGGCTACTTTAAAAAATAATAATAATAATAATATGTACGTGTAATATTTGTGGGATAATTTTTCAAAAGTGGAATTTCTAAATCAAAAATTGTAGGCATATGTAATTTTGATAGTTACTGCTAAAGTCACTTTCACACTTTCATAAAGGTTTGTGTCATTTTATACTCAGACATATAAGTGCATAAAAATTCCTGCACTAATTCAGTCTTGCCATCAAGGAGTATTATTAATATTAGGGGGGTTTGGCCACCTGAAAAAAAAGTGAAAAAAGTTTATTATTGTGATTTGAATTAATAGTTCTCTGTTAATTAATGAGTGAGGTTCACCATCTCGTCAAAAGTTTGTCATTTATGTTTTCCTTGAATAATTCCCTTATATCTTTTGTTTGCTTTTTTGTGTTATGTTGTTGGTCTTTTTTCTTGTTGATATAGAGTTCTTTAAGTATGCGAGAAACAGTTTCGTTATGTGATAGGAGTTCTTTCTATCTTATTAGACTTGTTTATTCATTAGAGTTTTCTACTCTAGTAAAATCTTTATGAGAACACATGGGATTCATGCACCTGTGAGGGGGAGTTCCCTTGCAATTTCTCTATTTTGTACATCAAAAATAGTACAGTCAGATTTTATTTATTTATTTTTAGACAGAGGGGAAGGGAGGGAGAGAGAGAGGGCGAGAAATATCAATGTGGTGTTGCCTCTCATGCGCCCCCTACAAGGGACGTGACCTGCAAACCAGGCATGTGTCCTGACTGGGAATGGACCAGCAACTTTTGATTCCCAGGCTGGTGCTCAGTCCACTGAGTCACACCAGCCAGACAGATTTTATTTCTTTGGGTATCAATTGTGCTAAATTATTTTCCTAACAAATATATCATTCCAGCAGGTTTTAATGTATTTTCATAGAATGTGTTATACTTCTAATATTTTTTGTCTTGTTGATCTACAAGTACTCAAAAAAAAAAAACAAAACAACCCAACAACAAAATGAACAGCCAATTGAAATCTCTCACTGTGTCTGTACAATTGTCAGTTTTCCTTGCAATGTGTCAGGTTTTGCTTTCTATATACTAAGGCTGTACAATTAGATACTTTCCAATTTAGAATTAATTTGAGTACTTTTTCAGTCCTGTTTTTGTCTGTTTTGTAGCTCTTTTTTAAAAAACAATATTTTGGTTTTCAACTGTATACCATATTCTTAAATCATTTTAGGGCCCATAATTTTCAGAAAAAGATAAAGTGATTTAAAATTTTTTTTAATTTTTTTAAGATTTTATTTATTTTTAGAGAGGGGAGGGAGGGAGAAAGAGAGAGAAAGAGAGACATCAATGTGTGGTTGCTGGGGGCTGTGGCCTGCAACTCAGGCATGTGCCCTGACTGGGAATTGAACCTGTGATGCTTTGGTTCGCAGCCTGCGCTCAATCCACAGAGCTACGCCAGCCAGAGCGTGTGATTTAAAAATTTATGGAACTCCTAGGAAGGTCAAGTAGATGCTGTGCCTTGGAACAGAGGATAATGGACACCTAAAATACAGAGAGAATGCCTAAAATATAAACAAATGTATTGCATGTAGATATATTAAAATGTCCATAAAATCCCTCAATTGCTTCACTCTATTCTAGCAAACATGAAGTTGTATCTGTATGATTAATTAGGAGTAGAGAGCTTATCTTAATTTTTCCAAGGAAACAAAACCAAACCAGATATTTATTTTTTGGTGAACTTAATTGTTACGTTATTTCCCACATTGTGTAGATTCACATCTCTTTGATCAATGGGAGACCAAGTGCAGATGATCCTTCTCCTGAACTGCTAGAATTTACCTCTGCTCGCTATATTCGCCTGAGATTTCAGAGGATACGCACCCTGAATGCTGATTTGATGATGTTTGCTCACAAAGACCCCAGAGAAATTGACCCCATTGTCACACGAAGAGTAAGTTACAATGAGTCATGTTACAGCCTGTGAATGATATTGTACCCTTCTTTTTAAATGTGTGTTAAATCATTTTAAAATATATCTTTCCATGATTTGTAGGGGTAGTTATTATCAAAGAATTTAAAATTTGATAGACCTTTTGTTCACATAAATTCAGCCACTTGTTAGATATGTAACATTTGTCAAACTTTTTAACATTTGTCAACTTCAATTTCCTCTTTTGTAAAATGAAGCTCATAATGCCTAGTTCATCATCTTACTTTTGAGGACTGAGTTAGTTTGTCTCTTTGGGTGAGCTGTACTATTATAATTGGCTTTGGGGAGTAACATCAAGAAGTTGAAACATTTTTTGGCTGCAACCAACACGAAGAAATACATTTTATATCATGACCCAGTACACACATACACCCACACATTCAGCAGTAAATCTTAAACCATAGTGTGCATAGAATCAGCCAGTGATTTTGCAGAAAGGCAGGTTCTGATTCAGGCGGTCTAAGGCTGAGTGGAGAAACTGCATTTCTATCAAGTTCCCAGCAATGTCAATGCTGCTGGTCTGTGGATAATTTTGTCCCATCAGGTAGTTTAGTTGTATGCTTTACTAATAAATCATAAGCCATAGTTTTAAAAAAAGCAGTGCTGCACAGAAAAACTGATTTTATATATTGTTTTATTTTCCTTCATGAATAGAATATCAGAGAAAATCATTCTTCCAACAGATCTTTGAAACACAAGCTAACTGAAGTGCTGTTTTCCAGGGTTAAACTGGAATTTATGTGATTGGGACAGGGATGACCACCCAGTTGGGTGGGTGATAGTTGTACTTCTTCTATCTCTCTCCTACCACATGCACCAGGTTGTGTCACCTTCCTTACATGCTGCAACACAACTGAGATATAGCTGCAAAGCCATAAAAAAAAATCCACACTAAGAGAATAGCTACTGTGTGACTAGAAGGAGAAGTAACAAGAAGACTATAAGGAGAAACTAAGATTGTGGGGAAAAGCTCTTAGTTCTAAAATGATCCCACTAAGGTCAACAATCCCCAGCTATTGCCAACAATTGCCAAATTGCTGAACTGTTAGGCTGAATATTGAAGGACAGCACTTTTCATGGTTCATGATACCCCTTATATATTTTCTCTTGTTATTATTTAAATTTTCCTCACCTACTCTCTCCATTATCACAAAATAACTTTTACCCCATCAACACATATTCATTGCATTAGTGCCACATATTTTCCAACAAAAAATAATTTTACCATGAATTTACCCTCAGCATATTGCAAATTGTTTTGTGCAGAAGTAATCATTATCTTATAGCAATGGTAGACTCTTCTTTAAAAACAATCATTTTTAATTTTAATTTCAACATGACTTAAAAAACATATATCGAGAAAGACAATAATTTTGAAGGGAAATTTAATCTTTCCTGACAGTATATTTATCATAGGGGAAAAAATCAATGCAAATAAATGTGCTTCTTCTATCATCTGTTGCAGAAGGCAAAGTGGGGGTTGGCTGCACACCTATTGTTTATAATCTTACTGTACATGAGCCTTTACCCTAGTGCAGTGAAATTCAATAATTAAGTATGTTTTTTGAAGTAAAGCTCAGTAAACCCTACATGTAAATTTAAACACATAAAAATATGATATTGAATTTCAGCTCCTTTCCATGACTTAAAAGTAGAGCATTACATATTTATATTTAAAACACATTTCCCAATTTAAAAGCATCTACAAAAACTATGGTATCAGCTTTCCAAGTAAATATCCCTCTTTGTATCTAGATTATTGTGATGGAGTTAGTGAAATGCAGACTTTTAACTAAATTTCCTAACAAGTTTCATGAATTCAAAGTTTAGTTATATCAAGTAAGGTAAGTCACAAAAATATTCCAGAAGATACTAGGTATACAACAAAAACAAACAAACAAAACAAAAGACAAAAGTAAATGGAAAAGAGGACTATGTAGTCAAGGAACTCAGATTTTTGCCTACCTACTTATTTTGTCTAAATATGTTTTCTTTAATGTGAAAAATTAGAATAGTAGAACTAATAGTAGAATATATACCACTGAGATGGTTATTTGGATTCCATATAATAATGTGAAATATCTCATAATTATAAAATGTTATATATATATAATTAAAAACTTAAAAATAGTTCAGTTCTATTGTATAATTAAAAGTAATCTTTTAAAAATACCTGTATAGATTTAAAAAATTAGAAGCATAGCCCTTATCTTAATTTCATATAAGGAAGTAATTGCATGGACATTTTGACATAATAATGAAAAAAGCGCAAATATTCTGCCCACCTAATTTACTCCTCACATTAGGTTAACTTAATCTTACAGTTAGTTACATTTTAATTCCTTTTTTAAGAGTTTAGGAAATGTACTATTATGAACACATTCTGCTAAAGCTGTTGATTCTTTTTCAAATGCAACAAATTAAACAGTCCACATATGATTCATGGAAAGTGACACTTCTCTAATGACAATGAAAGACATTTTCTTTCAAGAAACTAAAATACCTTTGGCGAAGAATTATAACAACTTGTTCTCAATAACAAATACTTCGGCATGGACTCCGTACTGTCTGTGGGAAAGAAACTGTAAAATGCCCACCTTGCATGAACTCTTTCTTTGGGCTGTAACCGCAGTGCAAGGAGTTCCTTGATCACTTCCGTGAGTCCTCAGTTCTCCTGTGGAAACACAAATGTGCTTCAAACTAAAGACAAAAGCGGAGAGTAAAGTTCTTAACTGAATATCCCCTCTTGTTACTGTCATCTTGCCGTCATCTCACCAGGATTTCTCTCTGGATTGCTTTTTTGCAGTATTACTACTCGGTCAAGGATATTTCCGTTGGAGGGATGTGCATCTGCTACGGTCATGCCAGGGCGTGTCCACTTGATCCAGTGGCAAATGTATGTATATTGACCGGATGGTTAGGCAGAATGAAGCTCTGAGCTGTAAAATGTTTTAGGAGAGGCTTTGCCGCGAGGGATGGCATGAACCGGAATCAGGTCCCTGCAGAGACAGTGTAACAGAAAGCCACCCAGGAGTAAAATGGGGCAGTTGGCATGACGGACTCCGAAGTCAGCCGTCACAGTATCAGAAACCAGATTCGTTTCCGCCCCCCCCGCCCCCCAAAAGACTCCAAACTGCTCTTTCTGTTCTGAAACCTCTTTAGCCATGACAGTCTGCTGTATGATTCGGCTTTAGAGAATGCCCGCCGTCAATCTACTTCACCATTTCTTTTAAAAGTTTTCATAAAAATAAAAAAAACTAATGCAAACAAGCGAACAACATGCCTGAGAGTGAACATGAACGGCCATGGAACAGGGGACCAGCTGGGGCGGGGGCGGGGGCGGTGGCGGTGAGGGGCGTGGCAGAGGAGAGTGCTCAAGACAGCACCGAAACTGCTGGGCCAGGAAATGCTCCAGTGCTTTTGGGACAAATTTTTCATTCATGACAACATGGTAAGTGATCATGACCTCAACAAAAGATGAATGACCATCTTTTTTTTTCTGTCATACACAAATTGGTGAAAAAATCATTTGCTGTATAGCATATGGGAGATATAGATGGAATAGTAAGATCCATGAACACAGCTACCTGCATACAGATTGTTTTTCTTTTCTTCCTAAAATAATAATGCAAATGGCATTTCTCTGAAAGCTTGTTTTCTGACTAATGCATCATAATGTTGCCTCCTAAGGGAGGTTCTAATGCCCTGGTGTATTCAGCGGGGCGCGTTTGTGGTGCTGCTTTCTGCAGAAGGTGTGTCTGTGTACTAGGTATCATGACAAGCAGTTCTTTCCCAGCCTTGAGGACCCTCCAAGGCCAGTATCATGCAATGAATCAAGACTGTACTTGATAAACTAATAACCAATGTAGAAATAGACTCACAGATACAGAGAACAGACTGGGAGCTGTCAGAGGGGAGGTGGTTTGGGGCTCTGAGTGAAAAAGGGGAAAGGATTAAGCAAAGAAAAGGAATTCATGGACACAGACCACATTATGGTGGTTGCCAGAGAGAAGAAGGGGTGGGGGAGGTGGGAGAGGGTAAAGGGGCATAAATGGTGACGGAAGGAGACCTGACTCGGGGTGGTGAACACACAATGCAACACAGGTAATCTATTATAGAATTATACACCTGAAACCTATATAATTTTATTAACCAATGTTATCCCAATAAATTCAGTAACAATTTTGTAAAAGACTGTGCTCAAAACACACAGGAGATTCAGTCAGAGGACATTTGATTTCTATTATAATCATGCCCCTGGATGCCTAGATCAACTCTCTCCCCTGTGCCCGCATTCCCAAATGTTCACAGTACCTTGAGGGAAGCCTTAATATGGATACATCCAACCGTGAAAACTCTCTCAGGTGTCAAAAGGGGATCTTGGTCTTCAAGGCTAATCCCAAAGGGGGTTCTACTCTGTTCCAAGCTGAAGCCCTGTGATTTCAGAGCTAGCCTGGACCTCCATTTGTAATCTGGTGTTGGTTAGATATACCTGCTTCCGAGATGGGCACCTCTTCCTTCCCAGACTGACAGGGGTTTTAGAAGTTTTCTCTTCATTTTAACTTTAGGAAAAGCCTTTTATTTATAGGTCTAAAGACTGCTAAAAGTATGCTCCCCTCCCACTTTGACTAGAAATCCCGCTGTGAATGTGAACACAATACGTGCGGAGACAGCTGTGATCGCTGCTGCCCAGGATTCCACCAGAAGCCTTGGCAAGCTGGGACCTTTCTGACCAAAACCGAATGTGAGGGTGAGTTTCTGAGGAGCCTCTGGCATATGTACTTCTTCCGTTTCTGGGACACTGGTAATATAAACATGGTGACTTTGGGCAAGCACTCTTCTCAATTTCTAAGTTTTACTCGAGGCAATAACTGGTCATCTCTTTTACCCTGATATTTCAGTTACTCAGCTTTTTGTTGTTGTTTTTTAACTTGAGAAATATTTACCAAACCCCTATGAATTTATCACTGTGTGAGGATGATGATAAATAGATAAAAGCACAGTATACCCTTATTGTCATCAGGGTGAAACTGAAGCTTATGGCATAATGTATACATAGACTAATAGAATAATAGAAATGTAAATAAACATTCAGTGAAACCTGGACTGTATAGAGACTAGATTTCTAAACATGAATGTTATAAAATGGTTCTGAAACCCATATAATTCCTGCGACTTCTACTTGCTTTCTTTGCAGCCCCTTGCTTGACCCCCCTCTATAGCAAATATATTTAAGTATCCACAATCTAATACAGAAGAAAATACCGGAAGGGAGAGATTGTACATTATAGTTTAGGGTACCGACAGTTTTTAAAAAAAAAGATTCATTGGTTAAACTTACTAAGGTGTTTGGGGGCAGTAGCTTGGAAGAATGTGAGAGTTAAAGGTAACAGAGATGGTAAGAAATCAAATTTATGGAAAAAATATTTTTTATTTTAATAATAGGCATTAACATTTTAAATTAATAGTTTCTCATTAATAACAGTATAAAATGCTAATATTAGAAATAGCATCATGATAATTGTTAGCATTAACTATGCCATAGCAATTATCACACAGTAGCAACCAAACAGAAAGCCAGTAATTAAAAACAGTAAGACAACCTTTTTACTTTACTATTATCATTTTTAATACAATCCATATGCCTAGTTTTTCCAGAACAGAAATACCCAGGATGTGGAGCAGATGACTATATAGCCTAAAATTGCCAACTGACCCAGCAGGGTGACAGGGACATTAGAGAAACCTGTGTTTCTAGAGACAGATTCAGGCTGAGACAAGACTAAACACAAAGGCTCATGCTGGACTGTAATTTCAAACTGGTCATGAGTCCCAATTCAATTGAAAGCAAATAACAGTATTTTGGTTAATCATTCAGCCCTAACCACATTTTTTTAGTTTGCTAGGTATACATGACTTCCAATATAGTCCTGGTAGCCAAATTTTAACTAATACCAACCATATATAGTTACTGAATGAAAAATACTTATCCTTTATCAGGCGTCAGACATGGTAGGTCTTTAAAACTATTGAATCATAGCAAACTTTAACCTCAAAATATTCCCTACCATAAAATATATTTTCTTTTTAGTTTAAGATTCTGCATATACTATTCATGTCTTAGGTCCCTTCATTTTTCTGCACTCACTTCTTTTGCTTTTTGATCTGTGTCTACCTGCATGTGATATATTTTGGTTTAGAAATCACCCGTTATTGCTGAGACATATCTGGTGGAATGCCCCCCACCACCAAATATTCTACAGGGGCATCAGGGGCCCTACCCCGTCGCCAACACCCTAGGGTTCTCCCAGTGAAAAGCAGACATTCATTCCCAAGCATGAATTTAAGTTAACTGCCTCCCGTGGATATTCGCTCTCAAACTCCTTTAAATTTTAGTTGTTTCTCTCTTGCTTGTGGAATATCAGCAGTCAGAAGTAGCATTTGAGGGCAGTGACTCTCCCCAATGCCTCTGAGATTCTGTCACACAATTATAATTGTGTACTGTTCAATGCACCTGCAAAATCTGTTACCACTCTCCACTTGTGCCCATGTGTCTAAACAAGGAAACAAAAAGGTTAGATCGAACTCGTTAGCAACAGGGGTGCACAAAGCCACTTGAAAGGGGTTTTCCACTTTCTGCTACGTATTTTTTTAAATAGTTCAATTACGAAACAATTTTATCTTTGATTGTGGAGCAGTTGGGAGACTGTATTACCAAATAGAAAAATAAATGCTTTTTAAAACCCTAAATTAAAGATAGAGGTCTTAACCATAAAATGTTATATAAATGTCATGCTCTGGGCAATGTATGCATTCCTAAAAGCTTATATGAAAATATTCTTTTCCATGTTGCATTATGTTCCAATCCCCTTAGTATAGGGGATTGGAAAATCCTTTCGTGACATGACACAGCCTTCTAGAAAATGAATAATCACATTTTAGTTCATCTGAGCTCAATTTGAATTTTCATCAGTCTAGGTTATTTAAGGCATGATATATCTTTAAGGAACAAAGAATATTTATTATATTGCTAAGCTTGTACTAAAGGACCATTTTAGTTTTATGTCTTGAGCGTTCGTGGTATAGCACGCTGTCCATGACAGAGCAAAAATGGCTGTTTGGGAGTAGGCGCTACCCACTCCTCTGAGGCCGTGCTGGCCCAGGGCCTTTACACAGCAGCCAGGGCTATAGACAAGGACCCTCTCCTCATGGTGTGTGAACACAACTGCTGCTCAAGAGCCAGTGTGTTACCTACACAGCTCAGGGTTGTAAACACTCGCAGCAGCACTAATTCTAGATAGTGTGAGAATAAAGTTGTATTACTCTCTATTTCCCTCTATTTATGGTGACAGCAGAAAGCTTGGCTGTTTCTTGCAACATATATTTACAACAAGATTTTTAAGAATTCTTGTGCATTGTCCTAAAGATATAAAAATGCTTTTAATGCCTACTGATTTACATTTATTACTACATGACTTCTAGAATGAACTTTGAAAATTCTCCATCAATGTAGCAAAAATACTATATTCTAAATCAAAAGTCAACAGACTGGGGATAGCATTAGCAACAAATAATAAGGAGATAGTATCTTTACTATATTAAGAGCTTACCTAACAATAAGAATATGTATTAAACCTGCTAAAATTGAAAAAAGATGGAAACATATTTCTCAGTAAGAAAAATGACATAGTCACATAAAAATATTACCACACTCTAATTAAGAAAGTACCAACTACAACAATGGAAATACCCTTTATAAACTCAAAATGTTCATTCTTCCATTTAGCAAATACTTAAATGCATACTATGTCCAGATACTGGGTTCAAATGGTTGATAACGTGTAGTGTTGGTGAAGCTATGAGGAATGAGTTTTATCATATCTGTCGGAGAGAGAGAGTAGTTTGACAGTATTGGGGGGGTGGGATTTTCCATGCTTCTTGACAAGATTATATACCTGTAGGAATCTAGTTTACAGATATACTTGTATAGCTATACAGAGCATGTTATCACAATCCGTGTCATTAATTTGCTGCTACTAACATTTATGGGTCTCAGTACTTACTGTGGCTCAGACATTGTGCTAGGTGTCTTGCATTCTTAAAACAACCATAAGAGAGATAAGTACTGAAATGATACTGAGGCTTGAATTTTCTTCTCCAAGTCACTCAGCTGGCAAATGTGAAGCAGTCTGACACTAGAACCCTGCTCCCACTCTCATTTCCTACTCCCACCTCCACATGCTCCTAGTGTGTATCGGTGTTATTTAGAAAGGAACAATCTGGAAACAATGTAACTACCCATTAACAGGGACCTGATGCACACAAGGGGTATGTGCATCAATTGTACTCACAACACCACTGGTATAAACTGTGAGATGTGTGTCGACAGTTTCTTCAGACCCAAAGGGGTAAAGCATGCCTTTTCTTTCCTTAACTGTTATTTTCTTCATACAAAGGCATATTATATAGAAAAATAATTTTGATAGACTTTAAATTCTAAAAGCTGGCCAGAAAAGTTTTAAAGTGGGAACTGATGTAAATATTTGAAGATAAAATATTAAATATTTACATCTCTCCAGAAAGTTTCATTGTGCCTCTTTCCTCCATTTAAAAAGTAGCTTGTGTAGCCTTAGGGGAAACATATGCTAATAGAGAAAGAGTTATGCTATTTTCTGTGAAAATGAAATAGTCTAGAACAGTATTTAGAAGTGTCCTTTGTGGAAAAAAAAAAGATTAAGCATTGACATACACACACACAAACACACACTTGTATATACATTGAAATCAATGTAAAGACACCTAAGAAACTCATCATCTGAGGCAGGACACTCAGCGTAATATCTATTCCCTAGTTCCCATCCTCAATTAATTCTATCCATTTCTCAAAGCTTTACCCAGTTCTTTCTGGAGAAGTAATTTTTTCACTCTCCTAAACTCCTATAAAGTGGCATGAAAAAGAAAAGGAGGAGGAAGAGAAGAAAGCAAAGAAAGAGGAGGAGAAAGCAATTGAAACTTATTTATAAGGCATTGTCCTAATGATTTAACTTGCATTTTTTAAAAAACATCTGATAATTATTATTAACCACTTATGTGTTATATGGAAACTGACCCTTAATGAAATCAAGACATTCCCTACATCACATGACTACTAAGTAGTTGAGAGAACACTGAAATCCAAGTTTGGTGCAAAATAACTTGATCTTAACCACTAAGCAAGCTTCTCATTTTGTCCTAATTGTTTGGCAGTTATCATACATCTTATCTCTCTCATAGGATACAACTCGAAGGGGCTGCACCAATGGTTAGCTCTGCAGACTCTGGAGCCTGATTTCCCAGCGGTAGTAGCACTGGTTTGCTTTGCTTTTACAAGCTAGTTCACTTCTCTGGGCCTCAGGTTACTAATACGTGAAAAGAGGTTAATAACAGTATCAAACTTATAAGGTATACTGAGGAAAAAAATCAGTGGTAATAAACATCAAACATTTAGAAAAGGATATGGCATACAGAAAAATGTTACATTTTAATTACTAGTAGTAGTAAAAAGAAAGGAACTATATTCTAAACATTCTTTTTTAATTATAGTATATATCACAGAGATTATAGTCATTTTTCACTACAGATTACCTGGATGTTAATCATTCAGTGCCATAGTTCAGTAATATTTATTTGTCATAATAGGATATTATAGGTTGAACCATATGAAATTTTATTTTTGTTAGATCAAATCAGTCAAATATTGGCGATTTCATATGATTCAATTTTATTTATGTTTTAATTATTTCAAGTTCCATTAAAAGGGTGAATTTATTAATATAGGCAATAAATCCAAATAACTTTCAGATACTTTTATACTGATTATATATCCTTGTATAGTTTAAAATCAGTTATATACAGAATATGATTTTTAAGTATCTCTGAAACCTGAAACTAATATTTATGATTTTTTTCCCCTAATGCAGCATGCAATTGTCATGGGAAAGCTGAAGAATGCTATTATGATGAAAATGTGGCCAGAAGAAATCTGAGCTTAAACATACATGGAAAATACATTGGAGGGGGTGTGTGCATCAATTGTACTCACAACACTGCTGGTATAAACTGTGAGACGTGTGTCGATGGTTTCTTCAGACCCAAAGGGGTAAAGCATGCCTTTTCTTTCCTTAACTGTTATTTTCTTCATACAAAGGCATATTATATAGAAAAATAATTTTGATAGACTTCAAATTCTAAAAGCTGGCCAGAAAAGTTTTAGAGTGGGAACTGATGTAAATATTTGAAGATAAAATATTAAATATTTACATCTCTCCAGAAAGTTTCATTGTGCCTCTTTCCAGCCAAATCCCACCCCCAGACAAACACTGTTCTTATTTTGAGAACATAAATTAATTTCACCTTAGTGAATTTCATAAAAATAAACAATATCAATATTTACAATCTTTCTAATATTAACATTAAACAATTTAAAAGGTACTTTTTACAATAATACTATAAGAATATACTTAGGACTAAGTTTAATAGAAGACCTGAAAGTCTTTTGTACTTGGAAAAGTGCACTGGAAATATTGCTGTGAATAATATAAAAAGTGGGGAGATATACTATACTCATTGATTAAAAGACTCAGTATTGTAAAAGTATTACTTTTCTCCATATTTATTTTTAGATTCTATACAACAATCCCAACAAATATTTCTGTAATTGACAAGTTGATTTTAAAATTTGGATGGGAATCTAAAGAAACTATTATAGCCAAAATATTCTTAAAAAAATAAAGTTAGTGCACTTACATTTCTGAATTCTAGGATAATAAAGCTGAAGTAATCAAGGTCGTAAGCTATCAGCACAGGGTGCACAAAGAAATCCATGGAACAGGACTGGGGTTCTAGAAATTGAACCCCAGAAATTGACCCACATGATCAACTGATTTTCAACAAATACTTCAAAGCAATTCAGAGGAGAAAAAGAAAGTATTATTCAAAAAAAATGGTGCTGGAACAACAGGTTAACCTTGTCAATCTCAATCATCATTCCCCACTACACACAAAGATTTACTTGTGCATGCTCTGTAGACAGGAAGCTTAATAAAATAAAATAAAATAAAATGTTTCTAGAATAAAGAACATCTTGACTTAAACAGACACTTATTAAGAGAGGATATAGGAATAGCCAATAAGCACTTAAAATGGAAATTAAATTCATAGCAAGGTCTGCTATGAATTCATAATGGCAGATCTGCTCCAGGACTGAGCATGGTGGGAATGGCTTAGTGATGGTCAAACATCCACTTGCCATACCCACTAGAAGGGCCAATTCAAAAAGATAGTCAGCACCAAATCACCAGATATTGGAGATGGTATGGAAGAACTGGAACTCCCATACATTTCTGGTGAACATGTATAATGTTATTATTTGGCAAAATGTTGGCAGTTTCTTATAAATTCAAACATACACCTACTCTATAAAACAAGCATTCTATTCCTAGATATTTACACAAGGTAAATAAAGCGTGACCACAAAAAAGACATATAAAATTGTTTTATAGGAGCCAACCAAAACCTGGAAATGACCCAAATATTCACCAATGTGGATTAAAAATTATGGTACATTTATGCAAATAAACAGTACAGCAATTTTTAAAAAATGATCTAGTGATTATATTACATGAATAAATCTTAAAGTGTCATGTTGAATGAAAGAGGGAAGACACACAAGTGTGTGTATTTCCTAGGCAAATAATTTAGTTTATTTTTTTGGAAAATAAATGTCATCTATACAGTATAATAGTACAGACTATGTTTGTTTAATAAAAATATTATAATATTAAAAGCTACTAGTTATATTGAATATTTAATGTATATGAGAGACCTTATAAGTTAATCCTCTTTCTAATTTAATAACATCACTGTAGTTCTTATTATCCTGGTTTTGCAAGGAAGTAATTAAGTAACAGGAGGCCACATATCCAATGAGCGGCCACACTGGGGTGTGAACTCCAGCTTTCCTCATATGGAGCCTGCATTGTTTCTTCCCAGGTTGTACTGTATCCTAGAAAACCAAGTTTTACCATATTTGCTGAGTATAATACACTACTTTGTGCCCACATTTTTGAGGGAAAAATAAGGATGTGCATTATACATAGATAGTATTAATTCCATATCTCTATAAATGCTTTTAAGTCTTGTATGCATGCTTATGCATTAAAAGTGTAAATCTAGAAAGCAATAATGATACCTGTTTAAAAAAATGCTAAAATTCCTTTATAACACACAAAAAAAACAAGTATCTAAGTATAAATAAATACAAAATAGAATTAAAAGTTAAAACAAAAGATTTTTCCCCCAAAAGTTTGGGCCAAAAACGTGGGTGTTCACCGTACATGGCAAAATATGGTAATTTACATATTTAATATTTTAAAAAATATGAAAATTTAAAAATTAATTATATAATGTGAATAAATTGTTAAAAATAAATTTGGGTAAAATTTACTAATTTTGAACCATATTGTAATTAAAAAACAATCAGAAAGATTTTATTAGGGAATTATATTAGAGAATATCAAGCACATATTATTTTTGTTGTGATAATGATACTGTCATTATAAATGAAAGAAATGCATACTGAAACGTATAGGGATTAAAATACACTTTCTTTGGGATGTTTTTTAATAACTTCAGCAAAGGATGAGATTTGATGTAACTTACATAGCAAAGTGTTGGTAATTGTTGAATAATTAACCTTGATAATTGTTAAATCTAGGTAACAAATATATATGAGTTTATTGAACTATTCTCTTTACTTGTGTTTATTCATTTAAAATAAATGTATTTTAGAAATTGCAAGCCCTGGCTGGCATAGCTCAGTGGGTTGAGCACGGGCTGCGAACCAAAGCATCACAGGTTCAATTCCCAGTCAGGGCACATGCCTGGGTTGCAGGCCACGGCCCCCAGCAACTGCACATTAATGTTTCTCTCTCTCTCTTTCTCCTTCCCTTCCCTCTCTAAAAATAAATAAATATAATCTTAAAAAAAGAAATTGCAAACATATACTGAAGGTAAATTCTTATTATTTTCTATATATAATTTATTACCAACCATTATTACAGTTAATTTGCCCTTAAAAGTTTGCTGAATTTAAAAATATTGGTCTTTTTTTTATACTCGATTAAAGGCATCTTAATATTTTTGTTAGGTATCTCCAAATAATCCACGGCCGTGCCAGCCATGCCACTGTGGTCCAGTCGGTTCCGTAAGTGAAGTCTGTGTCAAGGATGAGAAACATGCTCGCCCAGGTGAGAGCCGTGGTGAAGAGCCATTGTCCTGATGAAACGACAACTAAAAGCCAAATAGGAATGTTTAAGAGAATACTTTACAGTAAATTTCATTCATGTAATAAAGTTATCCTTAAACCTCTCAAACTTCCTTCCAAGAACCAACTTTTTATTCATCTCAATGATTAAGTGTATGTTTACTTTTAATGCTTTCAAAGCAAGAGTTAATTTGTTTTACATTACATATGTGTGTACATATTTACATATCTATGCAAATGCATCATCTGTTCATCAAAAATCAGTGATACATGTCATTTTTCGCATCTTATTGTTTATTGGATTGTTTTGCACCTTCAATCATTTCTACTATCAAAGGGCAGGGCTTATTGAGGGATGTGTATGCTATAATGGGAAGAGAGCTTAGAGGAGATACTATGGAAAACAAGAAGTGTACATGAAGAAGTGTACTTAAAGGTATTGGTCATGGTTTTATGAAGGGAAAGAGGCTGACACTAATTTATGCCAAATACTCTCTTTGAGGATGGAAATTCATGCTGAACTCCAAACACTCAGGAATCAAGTGCTAGAATGACTCCTTGGTGTTAGAATGTTCAGGAGCTACAGGAGAGTTGCTGACCAAGCTTAAGTAGAAAACTCATAGAAAATATCTGGAACAGTTTCTTTGCATTTTTAAGAGTGGATTCTTCCCTTTGGAAACACCAAAATAGATTACGGCTACAGTTTAGGTTTTTCCCACAAAGACTTGCAAGGTAAAAGCTGGCAATGTTTCCTTGGCACAGTTCAGCTTCCCTGCTTTCTCCACAAAATGGTAGGATTATCAATTTAAGCCATATAGTTTTAAGATTATTTTAATATTCAAATGGTGAATTATTAAGGTCATTTTTCATTTTATGGCATCCTATAATTTTATAGTTTTAATGAAATTACATTATTTTCAGTAATACCACTTAACTTTCTACTCTTGACTTTAAAAATGTGTATTATTGTTTTAAAAGTTATAAAAAAATTAAAAAGTAGAAAAACAAGTATGTAATGAGTGCAGTGGTAATTCAGCACAGACACTGCTATTACCATTTTTTGTGTTAACTTTACCTAATGAGCTTTTCCTGGTATGTATTAAAAGTTTCTATGAAATTTAGTTTTAGCACCTGAGTAATACACAATTGTGTGGGTGTACCATAAATTCTTTATATACTCAACTTTATATAGATCTTAAGTTTATATCCAATCTTTGTTCATTTTAATGAAGCTGTAGTAAAGATTTTTGCATAAAATATTTTGATTATTATAAAACAATAGTAATAAAGTAAAATTTTAACAATAGGAAAGGAATAAAATAAATAGCGATAGTGCCATCTCAAACCTGTTCATTCCCAGTCTCATTTCCAAATACAATCACATTGGGCCTTTTCTCCTATTAAGTTCTTTTGGAAGAACTTATCTTCCCAACAATATCTGAATAATATTCTTAACAGTATTTTTACTCACTGTTAAATATTGCCTTCATCTTTAAAGACAAAGAAATGTGTCATTCACACCACAGCTTTCATTACCTCCACCATTCATATATTCTTATTCTGTATTTCTGCTATGGTATCTTTATTGTATTAAAAACAAGGCTTAAATCTCTTTTTCATGATTTATTAAAATTAGGTACCATCTCTTTTTTTATTAGTAACAAATTCCTTTATTATATTTTTCCATTACCATTTAGTCTCCTTATGATCCCTGCCCCCAGCAATCACCACACTATTGTCCATGTCCAAGACTCCTTTTCCCTTTTTGTTCAATCTCTTCCTGCCACCTTCCCCCACTAGCTGTCACCTGCCCTCCATCTATGAGTCTGTCTCAGTTTTGCTTGTCAGTTCAGTTTATTCATTCAACTCCTCTTATGAATGAAATCATATGCTATTTGTCTTTCTCTGACTGGCTTATTTCACTTAGCATAATGTTCTCCAGGTCCAACCATAATGTTGCAAAGGGTAAAATCTTCTTTTTTTTTTAATGACTGAGTAGAATTCCATAGACACCATTTCTTGAGGTCTTACTATTTAATCTAAGAAAAAGGCCCGTCATATACTCTCCACTGGTGTTATTTTTCATTGTTGTTATTTTCTATTTAGAGAACTATTTAATCTGGAATTGAAATCTTGATTTTTCTCTTTAACTCAAATTTACTAAGGAGAAATATTTATTTACTAATTTTAGATGGGTTTAATTTTGTATAAAAGTCTCTCATTACCTTTGATATTCATAATTAATTTAACACTAATTTTTCTAGCATTTGGTACAAATCTAGAGGTCATTTAAGAAAACAAATCTTAGCCCTGGCTGGTGTGGCTCAGTGGATTGAGAGCCAGGTTGTGAACCAAAGAGTTGCTGATTCAATTCCCAGCCAGGGCATATGCCTGGGTTGCAGGCCAGGTCCCCAGTGGAAAGGTAACCACACATTGATGTTTCTCTCCCCCTCTCCTTCGCTTCCTGTCTCTCTAAAAATAAATAAATAAAACATTTGAAAAAAACAAACCTTAGATAATTTCTGCTTGTGAAAGTGAACATTTTTGTGGATTAGTCATGGATAAGATACAATAAATATTTATATTGTGTACCATATACTATTTAATTAAATATTATTATATAATTCAAATTATTATATCTTCTAATTTATTTATATTTACTTACAAGTATTTTAAATGGTAATGTCATCTCAAACACTGAATTTGGACAGTTTTTCTTTGATTTCAAATATCTTTTGTCATTTGTACATTTTTGTACTTGTAATTAGTGCTTACTTGGAGCATAAGTATAAATACTTAAATTATGGTTTTATCGGGGTTTTATCAATGTAAAATGGGAGTTTATCCAATTGAATCTATTCTAATTGAATGTTACTTTGTACCTTAATATTACTACAACAATTTTTGCTTTTCTATGTGCTTACCTAATGTATATTCATTTTTTAATTTTTCATAGTTCTCATTATTTTGTGCACCCTTTGTGAACAATATATGCCCATGTTTTTAATAGAAACAGTGATATTGTTTAACTTACTTCTATACAGCTAGTATGTGTGTCTGACACTCATTCTGTGTTTAGTTTTGTCACCGTAACGTTTCCATTTCTTTTCCTTTTATTTTTTCAGTAGACTACAGTTTACTGATTCACTCCTTTATTTTTCAATATTTTGAAGATCTATAACATATCCATTAATTCATCATATATTTTTTCTATTTTTCTGATTAAAGACATGAAGAAAACTGTTTTGCATTTCTCCAGTTTTTAAAAAAAATTAACTTAAACTGCTCACTTTTCCTTCTTTTATTTTTTATCCCCCAAATATATATTCCCATGAATACACTTAGTGTTTTGTTAGTGGCATTGAGTGATGTTGTACGTATATTGTTGTTGCTAAACTTTTGTTTTAAGTAGTATAATTTTACACCCAAAGCCTTTTCTGTTTTTCTGAGGGGGCTTGTGAGCCAACAGGTACACACAATTTACATAGTCTTAATCCAGTGTCACCTGTCAGAGTTACGGAAATTTTTCCTTGATCATTGCTGTGGGTTTTCTCTAGCCTTAATTTTGGTAAATTCTATGCAATTTCGTCTTTTACAAAAATTCTTAGGCCCTGGCCAGTGTGGCTGAGTTGGTTGGACATCATCTCACAAAGTGAGAAGGTCCCCAGTTCAATTCTCTGGGTGATTCAGTCCCCTTCGGGGCATGTACAGAGGCAACTGATCAGTTTCTCTCTCACAATGTTTCTCTCCTTCTCTTTCTCCCTTCCTTCCTCAGTCTCTAAAAAAATACTAATAATTCTCCGTATTTTAAAAAATACTTAGAAAATGCTATGTATGCAAGTCATAGGCAACTTAATTAAACCTTATATTCTTTGGTTTCAACTGTTCTTTTTTGATTTACCCCACAAATGTAATTTTTGTGTGAAAATAGGATTTTAAAGGCTACCATAATTAAAACCTTAGGGGCTATATTATATATTTACCTGAAAAATGTTGATATGTGGCTCGTCTTCTCTTAGGTCTGGGCCCCGGGTCCTGTCATTGCAAACCTGGCTTTGGAGGCATCAACTGTGATCGGTGTGCCCGGGGCTACACTGGCTACCCAGACTGCAAACCCTGTAACTGCAGTGGTGAAGGAAGCGCAAACGAGGACCCTTGTTTCGGACCCTGTAACTGCAAGGTACACTGTTTATTCCAGTAACGCCCCACTGTCAAAACAGAAGGTTGTTTTCCTTGGCTTCTCTGGTCTGTCTACTGGCATTAAGCAATTGTTACAACTTCTCCAGTGTATATCCACTTCCTATTCTGTATGTGGCACTCTTACATGTGTGTTTAGAAGCTTACGGGTTCACTGCAGCAACATACTGGCCATGGGTCTAAAAACCAACAGATAGAGGACAAGTTACCTTAAGAATTATGTCATTTTATGGCAAAAACACTTTTCCCCACTACCAATCTAGTGTAATTTAAAACTATGCAGCTCTAAAAATAGCAGCCCTTTAAAGCTCTAGTACCCTCGAATCTATTCTAGCTTGGTACCGAATTCTGAAAATGATTCCTTCAAGGGTTGCATTCTGGATTTTTAATCTTCTGAAGTTTGATCCCAGATAGGTCTGAAAATACCATATTCAAACTCTTTCATTTAATTACCAAAAATGTAAGAAGCCCTAGTGGAATTGATTAGAGGCTCAATATTTCCTCCCAAGAGCAGTTTCAGAAATGCAACTTCATTTGTTGCACATCCTCAGCTAATAGCTCATCACGTTAACACCAAAGGATGAATTACACCTGCAGCTTATACACACAAAACAAACACAGAGGCATGTGCAAGTCTTACATGATAAAACTGATTTCCTTTAGCTATAATAATCACTAACAAAATGTTTGGATCAGACAGTGTTAGCTGAATTACCTGAGAGAATGAAAAATCCATTGAAAACTTAGCATGCCATACTGATATAAAAATAAATATTGCTTTTTCCTTTGTTCTACTTTTTTCTTTGTTTTCAGTCATAGATGGAGCCCAATTAATATCTTTCTTTGTTACTTCATTAGTGTTATCTAAGCAATAGAAATGATACATTTGAAGTTATGCATGTATGTATGAGTATATAAACCTACCCATAACACAAGGAGTAAATACTAGTATTAATGTTAAATGTATATTTTGGGGACAAGAATGTATAAAATATCAAGCTAAATATTATAATAGTTACATAGTAGGTATATGTTATCTATCAGGGGGAACTTAGATAATTATCTTAGACAGTAAACCAGCAGAAAGTCCACAGTTCATGTGAAGACATTGTTATGTACTGTGACATAGTTTTACAGAAGCTATACATCTCATTCAAATATTATCTGCAATGTAAAAATTGCTCTAGTAGATCCAGATGGTGTAGTGGTCTGTTGGTGATGGCTTGTTAAGGGCACCTCCCATTTTCATCCGTCAAGTCTTTTGGGGGAATCCTGTAGGCTCTTAGTAAATTTTCCCTTATATTTATCCAAACATATCCTATATCCTTTATTCCTTCTCTATACTGCACAGAAATCTTGATTCTTTATCACTTACTCAAATAAAGGACAGGTCAAGCTGAGCTTAAAAGGGAAGAGAAACTTCCTCAATTCCTAGAATATAAGAAACTAAACTGCAAAAAAAAGAGAAAGGGAATGTTTTTTATACACCTACTGTGCATTCAGTGGGACACCTAGTATTGTGAAGGAAAGAGGAACTTGAGTGAGGGAGGCAGGCCTCATTTTGTTCATTGTCTTTGGTAACTATAGTGGGAAAGGTTAGAGCAGGAGAACTGTGGCCGTTAGCAGAGCTCCCAGGAAAACACTGCCTGCTCTCCGCCCGCCTCAGTGTTGTACTGAGAGTGATTACAGTCCTAATTGGAAAAATGCCTCCTACTAAGACACTTGTTGCTCTATACAGATAATTAAAGCACAATAATAAACAGCAATTAGGAAATCATAAAAGAGAAGAAAAATGAAGTAACTAGCATCATTAAGTAGATGCCCTTCAACTGTATATTTTAAATAGATGACTATAAACTCTTATTAACTAGTTTTTTAGGATCAAAACTTGCAGAAAAAAAAACAGGTTCATTAAATACCTACATAATCTTAAAACCCAAAAGTTATATGCTGTATAAGTATTTTGCTGTATATGCATACAGCAAAAAAGAATTATATCACAATGTTTGTGTGTATAATTTATTAGATTAAGTGCCTGTAGCCTCTTGTTTTTAAGAATGATAAATACACAGTGTTTCAACAAAGTATGCATACAATTGAAATACTGAAACGACATTTACTAATGTAGAGCTAAATGTGGTAGTTCCTTCTGTTTCACAAAAACATGATTAGACATAGGTGTCAAATGATTATAAAAAACAACATAAACCAAAATGCTATTTAATAAGTAGAACTTCATTGAGAAGCTAAGATGCTTAAAACTTAAATTCAAAGAAAATGATACCCATGTGTTCATCTTGCACATTTGTTCCCTCACACTATAATATAAAGTAGGTTTTCATATTTCTCATTATAAAGAAATTATCTCCTGAGTGTATAGACATTTTAAAAAACTTCAGGCCTAAATTTCTTTTTATTGTAAGTTTTAAATGGCTAGAGTTCTGGTAAAAAACCATACTTAGAAAAGTGGGCACCACTTTTTTCATTTCTGCCATTTCAAATACAGTATTTTGGGTAAAACAGAACAAATAAATTTGTAATCATGTAGATGCAGGAAGGAAATATTAGTGGCCTCTCCAGGACTTGAAACTAGGATTTGGCCTCACAAAAGGTAATTGGAACTGAATTCACTTAAGCTTTGTCTATAGAAATGTCTCTTGACAGTGAAATAGTGGAACAGGCTTTACAAAATTCACCTGCAGGCCAGGAGTGGCAGCTAGAAAATTTTCTCTTTCCTTTGGATCTCTTGGTGGGGAAAAATTAGCACACTATGAGGAATCAAGGCCCTCAACCTCTGTGCCACATGGGAGTGGGGTCAGTTTTATTCTCTTCTTATGTGCTAGAATTCTTAACAGGTCAGGCAAATTGTATGCCCATAGGAAAGAAAGTATAGCTTCAACTGACAAATTATATAGACATAAAAATGTGTAATCATAGAAATTCTAGAAATAAAAGTATGTAAAAATGTATAATCATAAAAATATGCTTAGAAAATAAGATAATAAAGAAATAATAGGGAAAATGATACAACATAAGACACTATATTAAAATAAAATAATAATTTCTGGACCTGGAAATCAGTAAAATTTACTTCTAGAAATAAAAAATATACACAGTCATTGAAATTTAAAATTCAATAAATGGTTGAACAAGAGATTAGAAACTGCTGGATAGGAAATCAGAAATACAGATTATGAGGAAATTAACTGCGAATTGATGTAGGGAGATAAAGAAATAAAACTATGAGATGCTAAGTGGCATGGCTGATTGATAGAATGATAAAATTCAACGTAAGTTTATCAGAAGTTGCTGCAGAAGAGACCAGATAAAACTGAGTAGAAATAATATTTAAGGACTAATGAAGGAGAAAAAAATTATTAAGAATTAAAGAATCCCTGGATGGGTGACTTAGTTGGTTGGAGCATCATTCCATGCACCAATGGTTTGCAGGGTGTCCTGGTCAGGGCTCATTCCTAGTTTGCAGGTGTGATCCCTGGTGGGGACACAGGTGCATAGGGGAGGCAACCGATGGATGTGTCTCTCTCCTGTAGATGTTTCTTTCTCTCCCTCTCTCACTCCTTCCTCTCTCTCTAAAATCAATGAACGTATCCTCAGGCAAGGGTTAAAAAAAAATAAGAATTATACACCCTCAGTGTGTAGAAGAGAAAAATGAAATCCCCCATAGGGGTTCATAGTAGAAAACCTGACCACCTGTCAAGATAGAAAAAAAGTTTTAAAGCTACAGACAAATATCAGATCATTGTTAATATTTACCATTCACAGTCTAACTTCATTGAAAAAATGCTTAGTGATTATATACTCACAAAAGAAAATATTGAACCCAGAAGATAATGCTAATGGATTGCAGAATATGGGAATCAATCTGTAAAATGCAATAGCATTTCTACACACTCATGATAACCAATTAGTAAATGTAATATAAATATTTGGAATAGCACAAAGCTATATGATGCCTAGTAATAAGTATTTTTAAATGGAGATAAATTTTTAAAAGATTATCAAAGACTAAACTTTGGGGAGATAGCTAACACCAAGTGCTGATGAAAATCTCAGAAAGCAGAAATGCCTGCCACTGTTGTTATTAGCATGAACTAGTGCTACAATCTGAGGAGGACAATGGGCATTATCTAACATTATTAAAATATTGGAACCCTGTCAGCCTGCAAGTCTAGATATTTTCCCTAAAGAATCTCATATAATATGTAGAAAGAAGCATATAATAGGTGTTTAATATAGGACAACTTGTTATAATGAATATTAGAAAAAATCTAAATATTCACAAATCAATAAGAAAAATAAAGTATAGTATGTTTATATAAACTGATGTAAGAAATACTTCAAGGGCGTGAAATAGGATCCACATGTGCAAGCATTGCTAAATTTCAGAAACTTAAAAAAAGAGCAAAAATCATTATGTTATCATTTATGTAGTGTAAAACATAAAACAAGTCTGTATTGTGTGGACACACATATAAATTTAAAAATGTTAAATACACTGACATATGTATTAATTTCAGAAGAGTAGTTAACTCTAGAGAACTAGGGAAGGGAATAGGATGCAAGTGAAGGGAGAGTCAAATATATCTAAATAATATTTCTTTAAAAGTATATCTGAAGCTCACAGAAAAAAATGATAATTTTTAACCTTATTTTTGGTGCTTTAAAAATAATTCCTAATTTAAATTTTCTATAATTAAAAGAAACAAAGATTTCTTTATTTAAAAAGAGGTATAAGAAATTCTTAATATAATATTAACTAGTATCACCTTTACACATAAGATTTTTTGTTATATCCTTGTTTAAACAATTATATTAATGAACATTATCCTAATTATATTTAAAAATATGAAAACAATGCTAGCTGAAGACACAATAATATTTACTAATTTTGCGCATTATTAAAAATTTTTAGATATCTATAGCTTTTTGTGAATTTATAAGAGAGAAGCCAATCTCAGATAT